GCGCCCCCGTGGTACCAGTCACAGGGCAGGCAGGTGTCACTGCCTTTGGGGCGGTAGTGGAAGTCCTGGGGGGAGATGGGGACAGCCATCAGACAGCCCACCGGGACAGCAGCCAAGGCCAGCAGAGAAGGGTCAGGCTCTCACAATTTGCAAGCACTCCCACCACCCCAGTCGTCACCGTCCTGGGGCAGGAGGGCAGCACAGAGATGCTGAGCAGGGATTCAGCCCAGAAATAGGCACACAAAGCTGGGCCTGGGCAACTGCCAGGTCTTTGGGGGGAACAAGAAACAGCATAAAGGATAAGCAGGGCTTCAGGCAAGCCACAGGCCATGTCCCTGTGGGCACAGCTGTCCCTCACCTTGCAGTGGCACTGCCCGTTGGTTTTATTGCAGTCGGGGTCAAAGCCCTTGTTCACATCGCAGTTACAGGGCCCGCAGGTGGGGTTCCCCCACCAGCCCTTTGGACACTGCTGGTCCATCCTAGGGAGAAGAATACCTTCACTGTTATAACAACCAAATCCCCTGGGTCTTCTTCCACCAGCCCATCTGCTCAGCACCTCCAAGACGCTGGGTGGCACTAAGAGGTCCCTGGTCACGTAGCCAGGGTGAGAGGGCAGCACAAGGTGAGATACAGAGGCCGTGGCACTTCCCTGTGCCCCACATCTCACCTGTGCTCACAGTACTGCCCAAAAAAGTTCCCTCCACACTCGCAGACGTAGCCTAGGGGTGAGCCTGGCTTGCGGCGACACACTGACTTGTTCTTGCAGGGGTTGAGGTGACAAGCATCCACGCAGTCCCCTCCATAGTACCCTGAGGTTTGGACAGAGAGCACAGTGTAAAGCAAACACCTCTCCCTTGAGCCCCCAGAGCACCAAGGAGTGGAAGGATTCAGGGGGCTCAGGAGGGATTCTGCCCTCCAGAAGCATTAATTAGTCTCTGACAGGGATGCGCCTTGCCCAAGGGACAGACAGGAGAGCAATTAGAGGCCAGAAGGGAGCCACACGGGGAGAGGAGAAGACAGAGAGGCAGAGAGCAAAGGGGTGGCAGGCTGCTGCAGGCCCTACCTGGCTGGCAGACACAGGAGTAGCTCTGCCACTCATCCTTGCAGACACTGTTGGCTGGGCAGGGGCTGGAGGCCCAGGGGCTTGGCCGCAGGGCATGGCTGGGCTTGGGCAGCACGGTCCCGGTGACACTGTCACCCAGTCGGACACCCTGCAGTGCAGGTGACAAATTGAGAGTGAAGCCAGGACAGGTAGGCAAGGCTCCAGTCCTCCCGTCCCCTACAGCTCCCCAGGGGCAACCACCCCTGTGGCTGTGTTGATGTATGGCTGCCCCACAGCCTCTCAGAGCCTTGTAAGCTCAGAGGGAGAGGATCACCCACAGGATGGATGCTGGCAGCAGCTGCCAGGCCTGTGTTTCCACCTCTCCATGTAACAGACCCACTGGAAAAGGAAGACTCAGAGCAATGGTCTCACCTGTATGCAGCCCCTCAGCCCATTCTGCACCTCGCCAGAGCCCAGGACTCCTCCCACATGCAGGTGTTTCACCTTCAGACCATGCAGTTCATTTCCAACAACAACTGTGTCCTGCAGAAGGAAAAGGAGTAACATGGGGCAACCGTCATCAGCCTTGCCCCAGCCCTCTCCGAGGGTGCAGCCTGGCCCATGTATGCCAAGCATCCCCCATGGTTCCTGCCCTGGTGCTGGGGTCTCAAACAGCACCTACCTGGTAGAGCCCAAAGTCCAGGGTGAGGGTGATGACATAGCGTGAGTCCCGCCCGCCGTGGACGTCCCTCAGCTCCAGCTGGAGGTCGTGCCACCTCCCATCGCTGAGCTGCAGCTGGTCCAGGAGGAGGCTGGTGCTGCGGCCAGACCCCCTGCTCACCATGAAGGACAGCAGGCCCCCAGACAGCTGCAGAGAGGGAACCAGCAATGTGAGCAAAGGCCTCACCAACTCTGGCTGCCTCCAGCCTACCCTCTGCCTATGAGGATGGGGAAGGACACAGCCTTGCAAAACACTTCTCCCCACAACCACCCTCTGCTTGGGCTGGAGTCAATATGGAGGGTAGGATCCTCCTGCTCTCCTGGGGTGGACAGCAGTAGAGGCTGGGGAATAGTGCTATGGCTGAGGCCATGGCCCTACCTGGCAGAGCAGTGTGGTGTACTGGCCAGCATGGGCCTGCAGGAGCACCCCGTCCAGCTGGCGCGTCCGAAACGCCAGCCCCAGGTACCATGGCACTGAGATCTTCACATCTGTCTTGAAGTCCCAGGTCAGGACACTGTTGCCCTGGAAATAGTGGGCATGGTGCATGGCTGGAAAGGAAAGTGGAGGTGAGGAGAGGGATGGGTATCACACACGGAGCATTAGGTGCAGGGACAACAGATTTAGCTCATCTCACACACACTCCTTACTCTGCTACCACAGCAACCCCAGCACAGCCTGGCCCATCCCCATGCTTCCCACGCCCAGCAGTGCCCGCTCACTCACGGTGACGGCAGTCCTTGCCCCCGAAGCCAACAGGACAGAGGCAGGAATAGGTCCCCCAGCTGACAGAACAGGTGCCACCATTCTTGCAGGGGCTGGAGTCGCAGAACGTGTGCTTGGCATGGCAGCCTGGAGGTGTCAAAGTCACCCACATCAGCTTC